CATATACCTGTAGATCTAACACCAATGTAACCATTTACTTTCCTTTATTAGGAATAATAATTTAGTAATAGGTATACTTTTAGTATACAATAGGTTACTGGAATTTTCTTACCCAGCTAATCGGTGTTCCAGTAAATCATATCATAATCTAACATCATTTCCACCACCAAGCAAGTATTGTTTATTTGTGCCGTCTACATTAACTGACGTGCACTGTGAGAATTAAACATCACCACATAAAGTATTTATCTAAACCATCAAGAGTGTTCATACACGCCCCCTTCCCTATTTAGCGTTAATAAATAAATATAATTTATGCTCGAATCCTCACGGTGAGCTATTGCGCATGCGCGACTTCGAAGGAGGGCGCGGACTCTCGCCATATTGGCGATCAACAAGTTGTGCTCCGAAGCGGTCCAACAAATCTTGCATTGACCTGAGGTGGTGGGCTTGACGTGGTCATCATCTTTGGAACCAACAGAATCGGGTGAGTTACATGGGTCAGACATGGCTGACCTTCTTTCCCCTGAGCCCCTAGCAGCCCCCTTGGCCACAGCCCACTCATTATGTAACAAAATTGGTGACCTTGCCAGGATACGTTCATCGAGATACAGTGTTGCCAGGGTTCGTTAACGAGAGACAGTGTTGCCAGAAGGGAATTATCAGGGGGGAAAGTGCCAAGCCATTACGACTATATAGCACTGGAAAGGGGTCAGGATAAGGATTTGGGATGGGACGGAATGGGGTCCAACCGCTTGAACGGTCGGGGATTGAACGCCGACCTGCATGAAGCGAGACCGTCGCTCTACCGTCCAGCCCAAGTGGTTGGGTCAGTGTTGCCAGAAACTCAGTGAACTCAGTGATAGTGTTGCCCCAGCCAGAGTAAGGACTGGAATAGTGAAATTAGTGGGTGTTGTCGTGTATGCTCAGTGCCGTAGAGATGGAGGACGGCAAGGTAAATCAATTCATTGAGACTTGGGATGAGAGTGTGTTACAGGAATGTACCAAGACACAACTCCAACTTGTAGCCAACCATTTCGGCATCCGTTTGAGGACGTCCAAGGTGGCGGAGCCCCGGCTGGAGATTATGGCGCACCTCAAGGCTGGAGAAGAACCCACCATGAAAGAGCCGTCCCAGACACCTGCCAGTGTGGGGAGGACCCGTAGTGATCGGGGAAGCAGTGGAGGGTCCAGCTGCATTAAGGGGAGCCTGCAACTGGAAATAATGAAGCTGCAACTTGAAGCGCAGCTGTGACGACTTGAAAGAGTAGCGCAGTTGCAGCGAGAGGAACGAGAAAGAGAGGCGACGTGAGGAACGATACGCACAGCTCTGGATGCGACGGGAGGAAATAGAGGCAAACAAAGAGGTCGAGTTGAGATGCATTGAGCGCTGGCTGCCCTCGCTACCTGCACGGCAGAATGACCTCTAGGTAAGTGAACGTGATTTACCAGCTTTCGAACCTCAGAAGGCCGAGGCATTCTTCAAACACTTCGAAAGGATAGCAACTTTGAAAGAGTGGCTGGAAGATGATTGGGTTGCGCTGCTCCAGAGCAGGTTGACCGTTGAGGCCCTGGAAGCCTACAACATGCTGGACCTAGAGGAGTGTGCTAGTTACGAGGCAATTCAAGAGTGCGGTACTCCACTCGTTCAGCCTGACTCCGGAAGTGTATTAGAAGCGGTTCAGGGAGTGTACGAGAGCGTTGGGAAGATTATACGCCTAGACAGCCCGGGAGACGGCATGGAAGTCCCTACGATGGTTGAATGCGGAGGAAGCGTAAACGGCGGATGAGATCAAATGACTGATGGTGATGGAGAAGTTTATATCAGTGCTCCATCCAGAGCTGTGAGTTAGGGTGAGAGAAGCAGGTATTAAGAACCTTAAAGCTGCAGCGGATAGAGCCGACATGCTGGAGGAGGCACTGAATCTCCGGAGGGAGGGACTGCCCAGACACTCGCCTTACACAAGGTCTGGAGGGAACTTCAAGAGTTCAGGAGTAGCGAGAACGGGAAGGGACTCTCCCAAGAGTAGCATTTCTGGCGAAGTGAACCCCCGATTCAAGAGTTCGAGAGAAGCGTTGAAAAGCTCTCGAGGAGTGAGTGTTAGGCCAAACTCTGTAGCAGGAAGTGCTGCCAAGGAATCGATTACGGGAAGTCCGAGGAGGACCCAAAGTGCGGCATCTACCGTTGGCTGGCATTGACAGGGTGACTGGCGATGGGTCGTCTGACAGGGTGACTGGCGATGGGTCGTCTGACAGGGTGACTGGCGATGGGTCGTCTGCCAGGGTGACTGGCGATGGGTCGTCTGACAGGGTGACTGGCGATGGGTCGTCTGCCAGGGTGACTGGCGATGGGTCGTCTGACAGGGTGACTGGCGATGGGTCGTCTGCCAGGGTGACTGGCGATGGGTCGCCCAGGGGAGGCAGCTGATGCTATAACTGTTGTGTAAAAGGACATTATGCCCGCGAGTGTGACGAGCACCAGAGGAGTATGGGACTGATGTTAGAAGGGGAGAGAATGTTGGTTCATACCCAGTACTACAGTGGACCCAATGTGAATGGTTGGGAGATGAAGTTGGGTGAACAACCCTTCGTTTTCGGGGGGCACTGTGAAGTTTGGGAAGACAGACCCGGTGGAGATTGCAGTGCTTCGTGATGCGAGGCTGACATAGGTATGGTAGCAAGAAATATTCTTCCCAACGATCATAATGAATCACCTGTGGGAGTGGTGAGGATACATAGTGTTGGGGAGGAGTACAAGTTATCACTTCTCGAGGTACAGCTGATTGCCGACTATGGAGTCGAGAAGGCTATCGTAGCTGTAGCCCCTAAATTACCCTTGGAGCATATATTGATGGTGCTGGGTAACGACCTCGGCGGAGGCAGGACACAACCCGATTGGACCAGGAGTGCCTATGTTTCCGGCAGTAGTGCAACCCTGCCAGATGAGGTGCTGGTCGACTCAGGCAGTGGCGAGGAAGCCGACCGCAGCAATGATAACGTCGCCAAGGACGACGACAACGATGGCGAGAATGCAGAGGTCGTGGAGAACCCCGACGAGGACCTGCGGCTAAGCCTAATGATGCGTGTGGAGGAGTGGCGAGGTGAAGCTGTACAAGTGCCTGGGGCGGTGAAGGTGCTGCAGGCCGCACTCCCACCACATAAAAGTGTCAGTAAGGTGAGCTCAGAGGATGAGAGAACGACAGTGAGAAGCAGAGTGGAAGAGCCACGACACAGTGTACCCTACGCCGGTTGGATAGATAGTGGTAGGGGTAAGAAGAACCACCGTGGCAAGGTGAGCCAAAGTGAGGTGGATAAGCCTAACCACGAACCGAAGAAGACTGCTGGGAAAGGAGTCTCATGGAGGAATGAAGATGTTCACGGAGAACAGTGGAACGAATGGTATAGGAAGAGTAATGGGAAGAAAGCAGGGAACAGGTATACCCAGGGTAGGCGCCAGCCTAGCCAGAGGGACACTGGGCCATAGCAAAAGTTTAGTGTGGAAGAGAGGAAGTTGCTGGATGGAGGACAGGTAACAGGTATTGCTGTGAGGAGACAGTGCACTTATAGGAGAAGAGGAACCGAGAAGAGAGAAGTTTGGCGAAGAGGAGATCGTGAGCCGAAGCATGGAATACCTGAAAGATGCAGTGGAAGTGCAAGGGTACCTCAGAGTGCACGATGCAGTGGAGGCTCTACATGTACTGAACCTTGCAGTGGTAACGAGTCGTTGAAGTGTACTCGTAGACACTGAAGGAGGAGCTCCTATAGGTGTTCTGGGAACACCCACCCCACCCGGTCTTGTGCAAGGTGGAAGTACAAGAATACAAGTGTCTGGCGAGGTAGTACGAGCCACGTCACCAACATGGATGGAGGATGCAAGAGCATAGGCTGCCCTCTCCAGTGCTGTTCATTCGATATGACTCTTATTTTAAGAGGAGGAGTATGTTATGGTGCCCTCTCTTATTTCTCCCTAATGCCAGCGTTAAGAGTCATATCCACTAATCCTACAGGTTTCCTGAGATGCAGGGAGTCTTTTGGTATACGGGCGACCCTATTGATCACCTAGTTAGGGAAAAATTTGTATTTATAGGTTTGTAGGTAAAGGGGGGGGAGGAGGTCGTGCCCCAGGTACATACAAAATGGTGACCCTGCCTGCAAATCTGCCATTTTGTGGGCGACGCCAGCCGGCTGGGGATTGTCTGGCCGAGGTCACATGACGTGGCTAACCAATCAGGGTCTGCCGTGACGTCACCGAGAGACCTGGCTTGGCGCTGGCAGTGGACTTCGTGGAGAGCTGAGCTGACTTTGGACGCGAGCAGACATGCGTCGAAGAGCTCTCGAGGTTGGAGGATCTGGTAGCCTTGCTCAGTGGATTATAAGCAGCCATCAGTCTACCATTATTGCTGAAGACACTGCTTCTGGGGAGCATGAAGAAGCCAAGTTTAGTGGGCAAAGAAGTGCCAAGAATTTGAGGACAATAGTCGGCGACGACTTGGGAGGGAATGCCTGGCGCCCGCGAGTCCGGATGGTACGATGAGCAGGTCTGCAGTGACTGGGTCATATCTATTGAGATATATAGATACCGTCAGGAAGCAGGGAAGGAGGGAAGACACCGTCTCCAGATCCAGGAGAGAACGTCTTGTTGAAGAAACGTGTGTATACAGTGACCGGGTCAGTGACCACTGGTTGGACCAGTATTGAAATACTTGAAATCAAGAGAGTGGCACGGAGACAATGCGATTACTTCACGACATCTGAGGCCTTGCAACACGCTACTGGATCACCGAGGAGCAACCCGGGTTTAGTGGAATGATCCTAACCTTCGATGTGGTTGATGGGCTGGTCTGCAACTCCAGATTCATATGCATGGGGTCAAGTAAATGCAATGTAAATCAGTGCATGTCAAAAAGTAGAAATTGTGTAGAAATTATACAATATAGTGTATGAAAAGCTGACAAGCCAATTATTGTAAACTAAAACTTTATTAAGTTGCATAAAATTAAACACTTTCTAAATATTACATAAATTTTCACACCTATAGTAGATAAGGAACTTATTAATTTATTTAAGATATTGGGTGTGTTTGGGGCCATCTTTATGTCGCTGATCAACGACACTGTAGTGGGATTATCTTGCTAGAATATAGATGAATATCTGCTCTTTATTTGAATGTTGTTTGAATATACATTTTATGATTACAAGGGTGGTTGTATATCTCTAGTTATTGGAAGAAAGTGCTAGGCCATTATCACTATGTAGTATTTGAGAGGGATAAGATACAGATTAAGATTTGGGGAAATGTGAGATTTAGTTCTCAGGAGAAGCTGGTAAGTCAAGACGAGTTTGTAGCACTTGTAAGGGATATGAGAACGGGAATTAGGGATAGGATGGAGGAAAGGAATGGTGCCCAACCGCTTTGACCATGAGGGGAGTCGAACGCCGACCAGCAAAATGCAACGCCATCACAAAACCGCCCAGTTCAAGTGATTGAGCACTTGTGCTTCTACATATTAATTACAAACTCTTTGAAGGTTTAATGTTTTGGAGGTATGGGCATTGCTTGGACTTTTTTCATGATCGGGTCGTCTCCCTTCACAAAAAAATAGTCGAACCCATTTTTGCCAATCAGGACGAATCCTCTGTTCTTCATGTCGTCGACAAACTGGTGATTGAAATCCTTGAAGTGGACTTCCTCGACCACCATGGCGCGGATGGTGATTCTGTCCCAGGGAATATTCCTGAGGACACTTTTCTCCGCCCCTTGGATGTCCAGGGAGAGGAAGTCCACTGTGGACACCTTGAGGGCCAACAGGTAGGACGCTAGAGGGAAGCACTGCACGGCGTAATACGTCTTGTTCGAGGATGATATATAACCATCGTAGATGGTAGTGTTAAGCTTGACGCCGACGAGGTAGGAGGACCAGCGACGTTCGGCGGCATTATTCTTCTCACGTAGAGAGACGATCACCTCCTCCTTCGGGTGATTCTCTGTCGACAAGCAAGAGAAGGAGATCCAAGCCTTGCGGTGCTTGGTTGTCACCATCTGGTAGTTCTCAGGGTTGGCCTCGATCAGCAGACCTGTCCACCCTAACTCTCTTTCCAGGCGGAGGGTGTTCGATCCCCTCTCGCCGTCAAAGGCTCCGGATTCCACGAAGAATCCCCCACGTTGGTCGTCAAATAGCTTTTTTATATTGTTCATAATGAATGGTACTTCAGACAAAACACCAGTAAGGTTGTAGGGCTTGGTGGATGGTGGGACCAGGTGCTCGCGACGCAATATGTCCAGGACTCGAGGGTCATAAGGAGAAATCGGTCCACGAAGTCTGTGTCGAACTTCGTCTTGAACCCATAACGTACGGAGTGTTACGCTGCCACTCTGTTGATTAAAAATATATATTACTGGTATGGTACACACACACTATAGTGCTTAAGCATATTCATATACAAACAGTCACACTTGCATGCACAGAAAAGCTTTCTCAAGAGACTGCTATACAAGTTTGTGTATCAAGCACAGGTAAACAGGAGGGTGGTAAGTGGGAACAGAGAGTACCTCTCTGATAGGAAGCAGATGGTGATGGTGATAGGGATATGGCTTCAGAATAGAGAGAAGTCGCAAATGGAATACCACATGTATCAGTACCAGGACCAATACTATTGTGGGATACTACTATAGTCAAAACTAGGATCTATACTATTCCTAATATACAAAAATAACCTGAGGAAGCTGATGCATTCAAATTAAAATTTATAAATGAAGCAAAGATTGAAATCACAACACACGAGGATTATAAACGGATTCAATGGGGGATCTCGAGACCCTTCAGAGGTAGTCAGACAAGTGAGAACCCGACTTAACCCTCACACTTCTCCCCAAATGCCATAACGTGATTTTATTTTACCCATTTGATTGTTTACTACTTTTAAACTTATGCACCTTGAAAAAGTACTGTAATTGACTGTTGCACAGGCCAAGCCTCTCCTCTTCTCCCTTCTTTTTTCCTCCCCTTCTCCCCTCGTTCGTCTCTCCCTTCCTTGTACATTCTTCCCCCTCCCATGTTGCCTCATCTTTCCATCCTTTTTCCTCCGCCCTTTCCTGCCATAAAAACTCGAGTCAGGTGTCCTTAGGCAAGGGACACTGCCCTTACATCACCAGCTAATCCTATTCCCTAATCCTCCTTTCAATCCTCCTTCCACTCCTCCTACCCAACCATTCCCCCCTCTCTCTCTCTCGTCCCTTCCATAGCCATTGGCAAATTGTTGGGGCAATATAACTCAGTGCCATAAACCCGTATTCTCAAATTTTCTTGGGTGGCTGGTCAGCCGAAGCTCGTTCACAGGAATCTGGTTGTAACCTTATTTCCAGATTCTGTGAGAAGACCGCTTCTGGGTATTTGTCAGGCATTTCATTGGCCAGGAGCAGTGGCTTTTGTTTCATTGGTTAGTAGTGCTAGGGTACTAGGCCTGGGGGATCACGTGATTGGTCGAAATATCAAGAGGCGGAGTCTCCGAGGGTAGTGCCAGACATCCATTGGCCAAGGGATCAGAAAATCCAGTTTTGGTTTGAATTGGTTGGCACTCCTAGCCCGGAGTCAAGCTCGTGTGTCGCTCCTAGCCCGGAGCCAAGCTCGTGTGTCGCTCCTAGCCCGGAGCCAAGCTCGTGTGGCGCTCCTAGCCCGGAGCCAAGCTCGTGTGTCGCTCCTAGCCCGGAGCCAAGCTCGTGTGTCGCTCCTAGCCCGGAGCCAAGCTCGTGTGTCGCTCCTAGCCCGGAGCCAAGCTCGTGTGTCGCTCCTAGCCCGGAGCCAAGCTCGTGTGTCGCTCCTAGCCCGGAGCCAAGCTCGTGTGTCGCTCCTAGCCCGGAGCCAAGCTCGTGTGTCGCTCCTAGCCCGGAGCCAAGCTCGTGTGTCGCTCCTAGCCCGGAGCCAAGCTCGTGTGTCGCTCCTAGCCCGGAGCCAAGCTCGTGTGTCGCTCCTAGCCCGGAGCCAAGCTCGTGTGTCGCTCCTAGCCCGGAGCCAAGCTCGTGTGTCGCTCCTAGCCCGGAGCCAAGCTCGTGTGTCGCTCCTAGCCCGGAGCCAAGCTCGTGTGTCGCTCCTAGCCCGGAGCCAAGCTCGTGTGTCGCTCCTAGCCCGGAGCCAAGCTCGTGTGTCGCTCCTAGCCCGGAGCCAAGCTCGTGTGTCGCTCCTAGCCCGGAGCCAAGCTCGTGTGTCGCTCCTAGCCCGGAGCCAAGCTCGTGTGTCGCTCCTAGCCCGGAGCCAAGCTCGTGTGTCGCTCCTAGCCCGGAGCCAAGCTCGTGTGTCGCTCCTAGCCCGGAGCCAAGCTCGTGTGTCGCTCCTAGCCCGGAGCCAAGCTCGTGTGTCGCTCCTAGCCCGGAGCCAAGCTCGTGTGTCGCTCCTAGCCCGGAGCCAAGCTCGTGTGTCGCTCCTAGCCCGGAGCCAAGCTCGTGTGTCGCTCCTAGCCCGGAGCCAAGCTCGTGTGTCGCTCCTAGCCCGGAGCCAAGCTCGTGTGTCGCTCCTAGCCCGGAGCCAAGCTCGTGTGTCGCTCCTAGCCCGGAGCCAAGCTCGTGTGTCGCTCCTAGCCCGGAGCCAAGCTCGTGTGTCGCTCCTAGCCCGGAGCCAAGCTCGTGTGTCGCTCCTAGCCCGGAGCCAAGCTCGTGTGTCGCTCCTAGCCCGGAGCCAAGCTCGTGTGTCGCTCCTAGCCCGGAGCCAAGCTCGTGTGTCGCTCCTAGCCCGGAGCCAAGCTCGTGTGTCGCTCCTAGCCCGGAGCCAAGCTCGTGTGGCGCTCCTAGCCCGGAGCCAAGCTCGTGTGGCGCTCCTAGCCCGGAGCCAAGCTCGTGTGGCGCTCCTAGCCCGGAGCCAAGCTCGTGTGTCGCTCCTAGCCCGGAGCCAAGCTCGTGTGTCCTAGCCCGGAGCCAAGCTCGTGTGTCGCTCCTAGCCCGGAGCCAAGCTCGTGTGTCGCTCCTAGCCCGGAGCCAAGCTCGTGTGTCGCTCCTAGCCCGGAGCCAAGCTCGTGTGTCGCTCCTAGCCCGGAGCCAAGCTCGTGTGTCGCTCCTAGCCCGGAGCCAAGCTCGTGTGTCGCTCCTAGCCCGGAGCCAAGCTCGTGTGTCGCTCCTAGCCCGGAGCCAAGCTCGTGTGTCGCTCCTAGCCCGGAGCCAAGCTCGTGTGTCGCTCCTAGCCCGGAGCCAAGCTCGTGTGTCGCTCCTAGCCCGGAGCCAAGCTCGTGTGTCGCTCCTAGCCCGGAGCCAAGCTCGTGTGTCGCTCCTAGCCCGGAGCCAAGCTCGTGTGTCGCTCCTAGCCCGGAGCCAAGCTCGTGTGTCGCTCCTAGCCCGGAGCCAAGCTCGTGTGTCGCTCCTAGCCCGGAGCCAAGCTCGTGTGTCGCTCCTAGCCCGGAGCCAAGCTCGTGTGTCCTAGCCCGGAGCCAAGCTCGTGTGTCGCTCCTAGCCCGGAGCCAAGCTCGTGTGTCGCTCCTAGCCCGGAGCCAAGCTCGTGTGTCGCTCCTAGCCCGGAGCCAAGCTCGTGTGTCGTGTGTCGCTCCTAGCCCGGAGCCAAGCTCGTGTGTCGCTCCTAGCCCGGAGCCAAGCTCGTGTGTCGCTCCTAGCCCTCGTGTGTCGCTCCTAGCCAGCCAAGCTCGTGTGTCGCTCCTAGCCCGGAGCCAAGCTCGTGTGTCGCTCCTAGCCCGGAGCCAAGCTCGTGTGTCGCTCCTAGCCCGGAGCCAAGCTCGTGTGTCGCTCCTAGCCCGGAGCCAAGCTCGTGTGTCGCTCCTAGCCCGGAGCCAAGCTCGTGTGTCGCTCCTAGCCCGGAGCCAAGCTCGTGTGTCGCTCCTAGCCCGGAGCCAAGCTCGTGTGTCGCTCCTAGCCCGGAGCCAAGCTCGTGTGTCGCTCCTAGCCCGGAGCCAAGCTCGTGTGTCGCTCCTAGCCCGGAGCCAAGCTCGTGTGTCGCTCCTAGCCCGGAGCCAAGCTCGTGTGTCGCTCCTAGCCCGGAGCCAAGCTCGTGTGTCGCTCCTAGCCCGGAGCCAAGCTCGTGTGTCGCTCCTAGCCCGGAGCCAAGCTCGTGTGTCGCTCCTAGCCCGGAGCCAAGCTCGTGTGTCGCTCCTAGCCCGGAGCCAAGCTCGTGTGTCGCTCCTAGCCCGGAGCCAAGCTCGTGTGTCGCTCCTAGCCCGGAGCCAAGCTCGTGTGTCGCTCCTAGCCCGGAGCCAAGCTCGTGTGTCGCTCCTAGCCCGGAGCCAAGCTCGTGTGTCGCTCCTAGCCCGGAGCCAAGCTCGTGTGTCGCTCCTAGCCCGGAGCCAAGCTCGTGTGTCGCTCCTAGCCCGGAGCCAAGCTCGTGTGTCGCTCCTAGCCCGGAGCCGTGTGTCGCTCCTAGCCCGGAGCCAAGCTCGTGTGTCGCTCCTAGCCCGGAGCCAAGCTCGTGTGGCGCTCCTAGCCCGGAGCCAAGCTCGTGTGTCGCTCCTAGCCCGGAGCCAAGCTCGTGTGTCGCTCCTAGCCCGGAGCCAAGCTCGTGTGTCGCTCCTAGCCCGGAGCCAAGCTCGTGTGTCGCTCCTAGCCCGGAGCCAAGCTCGTGTGTCGCTCCTAGCCCGGAGCCAAGCTCGTGTGTCGCTCCTAGCCCGGAGCCAAGCTCGTGTGTCGCTCCTAGCCCGGAGCCAAGCTCGTGTGTCGCTCCTAGCCCGGAGCCAAGCTCGTGTGTCGCTCCTAGCCCGGAGCCAAGCTCGTGTGTCGCTCCTAGCCCGGAGCCAAGCTCGTGTGTCGCTCCTAGCCCGGAGCCAAGCTCGTGTGTCGCTCCTAGCCCGGAGCCAAGCTCGTGTGTCGCTCCTAGCCCGGAGCCAAGCTCGTGTGTCGCTCCTAGCCCGGAGCCAAGCTCGTGTGTCGCTCCTAGCCCGGAGCCAAGCTCGTGTGTCGCTCCTAGCCCGGAGCCAAGCTCGTGTGTCGCTCCTAGCCCGGAGCCAAGCTCGTGTGTCGCTCCTAGCCCGGAGCCAAGCTCGTGTGTCGCTCCTAGCCCGGAGCCAAGCTCGTGTGTCGCTCCTAGCCCGGAGCCAAGCTCGTGTGTCGCTCCTAGCCCGGAGCCAAGCTCGTGTGTCGCTCCTAGCCCGGAGCCAAGCTCGTGTGTCGCTCCTAGCCCGGAGCCAAGCTCGTGTGTCGCTCCTAGCCCGGAGCCAAGCTCGTGTGTCGCTCCTAGCCCGGAGCCAAGCTCGTGTGTCGCTCCTAGCCCGGAGCCAAGCTCGTGTGTCGCTCCTAGCCCGGAGCCAAGCTCGTGTGTCGCTCCTAGCCCGGAGCCAAGCTCGTGTGTCGCTCCTAGCCCGGAGCCAAGCTCGTGTGTCGCTCCTAGCCCGGAGCCAAGCTCGTGTGTCGCTCCTAGCCCGGAGCCAAGCTCGTGTGTCGCTCCTAGC